TTTCATTCTCGTTCCTCTCTCAGGCTAAACGTGAGAGTCTGTACATTATCCATCATCCCGTTTCCGCCATGACATGTACCGCCCTCTGTCTAAAGGGGTGTGGCACTTCTCCATCCAGCCTTGTGACCACACCCGCTCCCGGCTCTGAGTTCATGCTTGATGTGACGAGTGAGTCACGTGACAAGAATTGGCCAATAGAATTGATTGTAATGCTACACACTGACAACTCTATCACTGTACTGAACAGGTAATAACTACCAATAACTATTAATAACCATTATTAATTATTTATAACTATTAATAACTGATTCTGTCCATTACAGGACATCATATCAAGTATTGTGTAACTATAAATTAGGTGGTGGAGACGGAGAACCAGGTGGCTGTGTCTTCACGTACATGTACATGTATTACTTATTTAATTACCGGTAGGTGCTAAACGGCTAAAGACTGAAGGAGATTGGGGTGGAGCAGCAGGGGGTGTGGTCAATGGAGACTGCAATATATGTATATCGCCCAATGGAGGGTGTGTTGCCGTGGCGACTGAGGGAGTCATTAATGTGATTGCCTTCTCTCCTTTCTTCCTCGGGGAAAAAGGTACAAATACAAGAACTGCTTGGCTCACATTGTAACTTTTTAGGTTTTGAATCTCCTGATATTTCAAGATGGAGCCTATTACTAGCTCTAGCTGCAGTTAAGAATGTATCAGTCTGGGACATTGCCGTCATGTGCAGTCGCGTCTCTTACAGACACAAAGGTTGCCTAGCAACATGTCCCGCCCCTTACTCCACCCTTTTAATTAGATGGTGGCCTGATAATGAAGGTACTAGAGCAATGGGGGAAGGACTTCACTAGGAACTCTGATACCTGGAGGGACACTCTGCTCCCAGTCTACTATAGGATATGTCTTACTTTACACTGGTAAAGGAAGGGATCTCTTCTCAGCTGTATGGTATTTCTCTCTCCCTCTAGTTGTCATGATCATGGGTTAACTCATGCCCTAGACCAGCGTGATGTACTGAGACTTCATTCAACCTTCTCTCTCTTTCTCCTTTCCCTCTCCTCCAATAAAGAGTCAGATTCATCCCTTGCTTACTCTCTGAAAGGTCTTTAATACTACATACATACAATACATATGTTCATATGCACATACATGTACATGCATAATGTACAGCTAGAATACTGTATAGCACTTTAATTTGGCAGATTTTTATTTTGACGATTGGCGGTTTGCAAGCAGAATCACCAATATTGAAACTGCCAATCATTAATGCACATGCTTAGTAATGCACGTGTACACAAAAATTGCCAAATAAAAAACCAACAATTGTAATTTTGTAGCTAAATTGCCAAAATAAAATGCTATACGGTAGTCCCACTCTTCTTTTATTAGATTGTGCTGAGTCTCCTGAGGACAATATTGACGCCATCACTCGCTCGCTCCAAAATAAAGACTTTGAGATTGACAAAGGTTCCATGCCCTCCCTTCTTCCTCTCCTCATATTATTAGTGTCTTTTAGATATTGCATCAGAACTACAGGTTCATGCTCACTGGATTATTGAGTTCTCGTTAAAGGTTTCGTCAAGAATAGCAAATCTAATGGTTGGGAGGGTAAGGGCCCACTCCACCATTTTAATTTCAATGTCTCTTTTTGTACAGTATCCTGATAGGTTAAGTCTTAAGGTATTACGACAGTGTCTCATGTTGATTTTTATTTGGAATAAAGTATTGAAAATGCCAGTTTTATCAATCAGTGGTGAGGAGAGAGAGGGAGAGCCAGAGAGGGAGGGACAGAGAGAGACAGACAAAGAGAGAAGTTAACATTATTACTATTTTATTTATTTTTCAGATTCGTCACTTTCTTTATTATTTAAAGTTATAACTTGTACTATTAATAATGAAATGAACGTCCTTGATGAATCATTGAAATCAGGTGTGCTATTTTTAGAACTAAATACATTATGTCACTGACCACACCCACACAGATTTATTGCGCAATATACCACCAATGGAATCATATTCAACTCTGACGTTAACAAAGGCAGCTAATCTTCAAGGTAAACACTAGTAACTGTTGCTAGGGGATAGGCATCAGCAAATACAGTAATAGGATTTCCCACAAAGAATATTATGCTGATCAAGAACTTTAAAAAATCATGAAAAATCCAATTTTGATTGAAATTCATACCAAAATCCTGTGGGAAACCCAGCTTCACTGCTAGTTATAATTATGAGTTATTAATAACTATTCATAACTAGGGTTTTTACATGGTTTGTCTAAGACGGCAGAATTGCCTGAAACATTTTATCGGGAGACTCCTCCTCGCCTGAGACCACATGTACAGGCAAACTACTCGTCATATGATCCTTACTCTCCACTTGGACTTGTGGTACCCAAAGGAATCTCCCCTCCTTGGAGGGACAGGTTTATAGAGGGACAACTGGATGTGATCCATGGAGGAATACTCACCAACGCTGTACTGAGGGATACTAAACTCAGGCAATGCAGCAAGTGAGGGAAACAAATCATTAAAACATTGTTCTTTTTTGTGGGGGGGGGGGGTAAACTATTAAGAATGCTATTTTGAGGGGAAACAATTATCTTGATCCTTTTAAAATTTTTTTATTTTTTATTTGGTACATGTAGCTGTCGCTCGTGGACTGTAGTTTCAGGAACCAGTTCTGTTGATCCTGCCACTCCCTCTTCTCTCTCGTCTCCTATACAGCAATGGAGGCATAGTTGGACTAGACACTGTCTGTGTGGTTCAATGTGGCTCCATACAAAACAATAAACAACAACAACAACAACAATAGATTTAATACGATTCAAGCCAGTCGTTATACGCAATAATTTTTTAATTATTTTTTTGTTACAATACTTTTTCAATTAATAATTTTACAACAAAAGGGGAAACAATTATGATATTATTGTGAAAAATCTAACACAAATTACACACTCAAAATGGCAAAATTAGTAAAATAATACATGTCCACCTGTACATCTCTAGTATGTACCAGCTCATTCTCTCATATTTCATTTTTTAAAAGAGCGAGCGTGTCTTCATAATTAGTTCTAAAACCTGTCTCCATGTGTCTTAGACTGGATTGCAGCGTGTGCGATAATTCTTTATATTTTTGACAAGATGACAGTAATTGTCTCAAGCTTCTCAGCAACTCCTCATCACCTCCTCCTCCCTGTCCTTCTGTCTCATTAGTTGCTCCGTGAGAAGAAGAGGAAGCAAGTATGTGTTGTACATTAGTTTTGAATAGCATTAACTGAAATGAGAGAAGGAAAGTTACTTAATAATAATTAATAATTATTCAGTCTCTCTCTCCCTTACTTTATTTTCCCTGTCTTTAGCAGCTCTCAGTTCTTCCATTGTTCCTCGTAGTGTGTCTTCACATTTGTCTGCTCTCTCAGTGTCCACACTAACAGCATTGTGTAGCTTCTGTCTAGCATCAGCCAACTGCTGTGATAGGTGTATCCTTGTATCCTGCAATGACAGGACTTCTTTCTCAAGTTGTTCTGTATGACTAGACTGTGTAGTGTAATGAGCCTGAGAAAGAGAAGTATACACGTGCATGTACACGTACATATGTGTGCTTTATATGTACTTTTAGTTCTGTTAATGTGCTATTTTCTTTCTTCAATTGTTCTATTAATTCTTTTTGTTGTGTCATTTTCATTTGTAGTCTCTCAAATTGACTTATCATCTTTTGTCCCTGCATGCATAACAAAAATCATTAAAATGATCTGGGCTAGATTTCTCTGCTCACTCTATTCATTGTAGATTGCATTTCAGTTTCCCTCTCTGTGGCCACAGTAACCCTCTCCTCTAATGCTGTCACTTTCCTCTGCAGTAAGTTCACATGGAGCTCTTTGCTCTCAAGTTGCTGTTTTGTACTTTTCAACTTTCTTTGTAGAGAATACACTGCAGACTGCTTCTCAGCTAATGTCTGTGTCTATTTGTGAGCAGAAAAATGATGATAATAAATTACCAGTATGTATCTTACTTCTAAATTGCATAATTGTTCGGCTTTTAGTAAAATTGAATCTTCAGCAAATTCTCCAGCCATTATGCTGCTAGTGGTTGCTTCCAACTTCAGTGAGGATACACATCTTTTAATGAATGATTTATACTGTGCATTTATGAGGAATTGAAGAATAAAAGGTGAAAGTAAAAATGTTTTACTAACCTTTTCTTCTTGTTTTTTCAATTGCTTCTCCAGTAATTCAATGTTGTGTAGCTGATCATTCATTTCTGATAACTTCTCTCTCTCTAGTTCTGCTTTCTCTCTTTCAAACTCTATTTCCCTTTCTTTGCTAACTAGCTGTTCTCTTAGCCCTTTAATTACTCCATCCTTATCCGTCATACCACTCCTCATTAATGACATGCTCTAAATTTAATAATAAGTAAAATCATCATTATTTGTTTAATTTTACCTCGTTAATTTCTTTTAATTTCAGTTTAATGCTGTCCTCATCAATTGATGCACATGACAATAGTCTTGCTACCATATTAACCAGGTCTGTGTACTGCAGTTGGTGCATGAGGTTATGGTGTGGTCATTGGCATAACACACTTACTTGTTGCTTTGCTTGTCTTTCATTTTTATGCAATTCATCAACTGCCTCCAACTTTACTTTTAACTCATTAGAGCTGTACATTTAATTTGCATGTATTAGTAATTGTTTAGTGTTATTGTTTACCTGTTTTGTTGACTTTTAATTTCTTCTTTTAATGCTGCTATTGTTTCCCTGCTTGTTTCTAGTCTGTCCAGAAATCCTTTTCTCTCACTCTCTGTTGTTTGAAGTTTCTCCTCCAACTCTGCTACTGTCTAAGAGAGAGAGAGAGAGGGAGGGAGGAGAGTGTAAATATCTAAAGTTGTGCGGTTCCATTTACTTTTTGCAGTGCTGGTAGCTTATTTGCATCTTCTTTTAATTTCTTAATATCAGACACTAATTTCATGATGGTCTCTCTATATTACATTGAGAATAAATGTTATCCTCATGTTCCTCCTTTTTTCTGACCTGTTAGCCTTTGAGTCCAGTTCAGCTAGTTGTGTGCTGTTGGTTAAAATGGTAATTTTCTGTTTCATTTCCTTATTTTGAAGCATTAGACTGCAAACCTACATGTATGTGGTGAGAGGTGTAAAACAAAGCTGTTCCTTTACTTTTTGCATCATTCCTTCTACATCACATTCATCTTCCACTTGTAAGCTGTCAGCTAGTTGATAGCAAATATCTTCATACTATAGAAAGAGAGGAAGGAGATAGAGCCATTACTACATTAAGTACTAACTGCTGAATCTGCTACTGTTGCTCGTTCTTCTTTCTCTTCATTTTCATTCTTGACTTGCTTCAATTTTTCCTCCAGCAATTCAAGCATCATCTCCTACAATGAAGATCCCAATGAGTAATCTTTACATATTGCACATGTATATACTTTATCTTGCAGTTGTTTTTTAATTTCTCCTATTTGTTGCTGCTTGTCGTGGGCTGTCTGTTTGCCTCTTTTATCTTCTTCTTCTTTATCACTTAATTGTTTCTTCATTGATTGCATCATGGTACTTGTTCTTGCTGCATTTTGTTGAGATACCTCTAATTCACTCTATGAATAATAACAGTAATAGTATTATACATTAGGGTCTAGGGCACACTTAGTAATAGTAATTGATATAAGCTTTCAAGAAACTGTCTAAACTGAGTTAATTGCTGTTACTTTTAATTGAAGACTTTCAGATTCTTTTCTTGCTATGGCTACTTTGGCTTGCTCCAGTTGTGTTTTAATGTTACCCAGTTGTACATTAGCAGCTGCTATATCACTGGATACTCTCTCAAGTTCTGTACGAGACTCGGTCAACTATTAATAGTGAGTATCATTAACGCCCACTCAGAATTATGTACTTACTTCTTTAATGGTTTGATTATGTTCTTTATGTAATTGATTAACTTTATCATTAATTGTAGCTATCAATGTGTCTGTATTTACATCATTAATTATTGTCGTTCCGTCGGATAGTAGTAATAACAATGATTTATAGCTCGTTAATAACTATATGGGAATAAGACAAAATATATGGTATATTATGATAAATATAATAATTTTTATATACTTTATGGTGTGCCTCTGTATCACTAGTCACACTCTTTAGTTTTGTCTTTAATTCTAAGTTTTCACCTCTACGAAGAAATGAGGGAGAGAGAGACATGAAAGAAAATAAGCTGAAATATGACACTAGCTCTAATACCTCAGTGAGCTGATTAATTTGTCCCTGTGTTCCCATTCTTGTCTTGATACACGAATAAACTCTATGGACTAGAAGAAAAAGACAATAATAATAATGTGGTGAAATTGTCTGGCAGTACCATTGTACCATGATCATACATGTAATTGGTACAGGCACTTACTCTTCTCATTGCAGTGTTAGGAGAAGGTGAATGGCCTCTAAAACTGTTTGGTGGTGATTGTATCATTGTATATCTTCCTCCTAGGCCTCCTCCTCCTATTCCAGCAACAGAAGAGCTAGGTATAGGGCCAGTTATTGTTGGTACAGTATGTGGTCTGGTGCTGCTTAGAGGTGAAGGAGAAAGGGAAGGTGAAAAGGCACTAAGGTAAGAGTTAGGTGGGAGCTCTGGAAGCTGCTGCTCTCCTCCTCCTCCGCTTGAAGGACTAGTAGAAACATCACCTCCTTTACTTGCCATCTTTACTTTGTTGTTGTGCGGTTGCTATGGTAACATGCATTAATTTTATTTTTGTTTTTTTTTTGCAAAAGTTTTGAGGTAAAAATCTGTTTGTTTTTTTCATGGGTAATTGGTTTATTAAAGGAAATATATCATCTATTTTTGTTTACCAAACGAACTGAAGTAAGCAAAGCAACTTAAAATCAAACAGGAGGAAGTAAAAACTATAAAAAAAGAGACATTGATTATGACGTCACTTCCGTTATTATGTTTTTAATTAAAAATGGCGGATGGTATGACATTTAATTTATGTATTATTTTATTTTGTTGGATTAGATGATTCTCAGAGATACCACTGCAGTTACTGTGGCTGTGATATAACACTCCGTCTGAAATGTAATGGCTGCCCTGACTTTGATCTTTGCCTTGAAGTAAATAAAACAGCTTGATTCTTTTTATGACCATTCTCTCCCTCCCTCTTTCTCTCTTTCTCTCAGTGTTTTGCTTCAGGTGCCTCTATAGGTAATCATATGCCCGATCATCCCTACCAACTAATTGTAAGAGAATAGCTAGTAGCGTTTATATTACCTACCATTTCTCAGGACGAGGGAAGCTTCCCATTGTTAACTAATGATTGGGGAGCCATTGAAGAAGTATTGTTACTAGAGGCCGTGGAACAGGACGGGTTTGGAAACTGGTAAATGTACATATTGAATTAATGATCACATGACTGTCACATGTAGGGAAGACATTGGGGCTCATGTTTTTACAAAAACGGCAAGAGGTGAGTGGATTTGTAGTTTGACCACACCCACTAATTACACTCATTCAGAAAGCAAAGATCATTATAACGAAGCTTACGTGAACAGTATAATTGGAGAAGGTAACCTACTATATAATATTAATGTTCATTTTATAGTAATTGAGGGAAGCATGAGTGACACTCTATACTTGTAATTAAATCTGGATTTATTTTATTCATTTCTGTCAGCAAGAAGACAAGTATTTTTTCAGAAATCGGCCCATTTCTTTAGATGACCATAACTCGAAAATTTCTTGTCGGAATTGGCTCAAACTTTCTGCATAGCTTAAGGACATCAATATGTATCAGAAAATGTAATAAAAATTGGGGGTGATTTTGGAGTCATTTTTCGGGAAAAACCATGGGCTATAGTACAGGGAATTTTTCAGAAATTGGCCTATTTTTTAAAGTGGCCATAACTCAAAAATTTGAAGTCAGAATCAGCTCAAACTTTCTACACAGCATAAGGACATCAATATGTATCAAAAGATGTAATAAAAATTATGGGTGATTTTGGAGCCATTTTTCGGAAAAAACCATGGGCTATAGTACAGGGAATTTTTCAGAAATTGGCCTATTTTTTAAAGTGGCCATAGCTTAAGAAATTAAAGTCAGAATCAGCTCAAACTTTCTATATAGTATAAGGATATCAATGTGTATCAGAAAATGTAATAAAAATTTGGGGTGATTTCGGAGCCATTTTTTGAAAAAAAGCATGGGCTATAGTACAGGGATTTTTTCAGAAATTGTCCTATTTTTTAAAGTTGCCATAGCTTAAGAAATTGAAGTCAGAATCAGCTCAAACTTTCTATATAGCATAAGGATATCAATGTGTAACGAAAATGTAATAAAAATTTGGGGTGATTTCTGAGCCATTTTTTGAAAAAAGCATGGGCTATAAGTACAGGGAAAATTTCAAAAATTAGCTCATTTCTTTAGATGGCCATAACTCGAAAATTTTTTGTTGGAATTGGCTCAAACTTTCTACATAGCATAAGTACATCAATATGCGTCAGAAAATGTAATAAAAATTGGGGGTGGTTTTGGAGTCATTTTTCTGAAAAAACCATGGATTATACAGGGATATTTTCAAAAATTGGCCCATTTCTTTAGATGGCCAGAATTCAAAGTTTACCTTACGGATGTATCATTATTATTGTTAGGTTTGTTGCTTCCTGATTATCATTCCAAAGTCCTGGCAGATGGAGGAGGAGAGAGTGAGTTACTCTTCTTTGCTACATGTGCATAGTTACCTCCTGTCCTGTTCCAGTTCCTCCTTCTCCTCCCTCTTTCACTCCCATGTCACTGGAGCATAACGAACAACAGGACTTAACATATGCTCCACTGAGAGATGATTTTGAAAAAGTAAGAGAAATATGGAGGACAGTTACAGAACTACTGTACCTAATCACTTGTTCCTCCCTCCTCCTCCTCCTCCAGGAATATGATAATGGTGCCGAGAGAATTATAAGTGAAGTTCCAATCCACAATGAAGAGGATAGCATTGAGAGAGGTACATGTACATGTACTACAAACTACCTCTTAATGACTTATTTACATGTTATTAACTTATTATACCTACTACTTGTAGAATTGAAGCTAGCTCATATAGACATGTACAATAAGAGGTTGGGGGAGAGGGAAAAAAGAAAATGGTAAATTAAAACAAAGTACAGCTCAGCAGAGACTAGTCCTTATTTTTTAGCTTTGCAAGGGATCATAATTTATTGGGAGGAAAGATGAGGATAAGCAGTAAGTTTTTAATAACATTATAGTGACTCTTTAATTTCTAATTATAGGTATGAAAAGGAAATATTCAAAAGAGGAGAGGTTAGATTTTGATTCTAGATGCATCCATATTTTATATCTCTTCTCCCTCTCTCTCAGAGATATTAGGAATAAATTCCGTCCGCTAGCAAGACTAATGGATAAAGATGAATACGAGAAACTAGTGGGATCATTGAAAAGTTAGTTAACCAGTAATAAGTCAATAAACTACTGGTTAATTAACTATTATTAACAGGAGAGAAGGAGTTGATTGAAAGGATACAAAGTTTAAAGGAATACAAAAGAAACGGAATAACGAAGATTGAAGGTGCATGCAATGACCCAAGAGTTACACGTGTACATGTACATGTACTTAGTGTTTGTGTTGTTCAAAATAAGTATCCCTTTAAAGATTGTTTACTTACAATGTACAGTATCAAATATTTGTTTATAGATGGAATTGAGATTGATATGTTGAAACAAGAGAAAGAGAAGGTTAGTATTAATAATAATAATTATTATTATTATTTTCAATAAATTATATTCCATTGTATATACAGGAAAATGAGCACAGGTAAGCCTCAAAATAAAAAAGCTCACAAAACAATCCTTTTGATTTGATTTAGTGAACTACCAGGTGACACTTATCAAGGTAAAACTATATACATGTATTCTCTATTCCATTATTCTCTCTGTCCCACTATTAGGTATTGCATTGCTGACACAGAAAGAAAGAAAGGTTTGTGAGAAGTTAATCTTCTTTTATCTCCACGTCTCTTTCTAGATGTGTCATTCTCTTGGTTTGCAAACGCAAGAATATTTAAATATTAAAACAGAGATATTAAAGGTAAGAGTATCATTGATACTCTCTCCATTCCTCTCTTTCCTCCCCCAGGCTGCTGGGTTAAGGTTAAAAGGGATCCCTGCCAAGCCTTCGCTTCCAAAGTCTCTCCCACGCAATACAAAATGTCACATCATCAAATACCTTCATAAAGCTGGTTTAATTAGTTAACTAACCATGCCCAAATTAATTGACTCCACCTCTCATCATGATTACCTCTCATTTTTAGACATTTTTATTTTAACATTTTATATATTGTTCAAAAGGTGTTGGTACATGTTCCCTGTCTTTACTGATTGCTAAGAATTTAAATCTTTCACCCATTTCCTCAGGACTCGTTAGCCATTGATAACTATTAATTAAACCGTAGTAAATCTAATTTAGAGTCTCTTTGTTGGTATCTTGCACGGAACTAATCAACTGGAGGTGCTTCAGGTGGCTTAGTGGCAGGCTAGTGGTTAGTTTCGGGGCCAGACCCTTCAACCCTGGGTTCAAGGGTCTGACCCTAGTGGAGTGCTCTCTTTCTTTATTAAAAGTAAAAGGCAACTTTAAGGTCCTCTCATTCCATTCTTCTCTAAAGATTTCATCATGAAAACTTTTCTGTTGTGTCTCGCTTGTCTAGTCTCTCTTGCTGCAGCTCAGATTGCACAATCTTGTTGTAAGTTTAACGTGGTAACAATGGTGATAATTAAAGAGCTCCTTCCCTCTCTCTCCAGCTGACTATCCAGACAATAAAGTATCAGTGTATCTTAGCTCTGTTAGAATTGTTGGTTGCGCCGTCCCTCCATGCAAGTTCTATAAAGGAAAAAATGCCACAGTAGCATACAACTTTAAAGCAAGTTAGTTGTAACAAACCAGAGAAAGATTAGTATTATGACAAATTATCCCTTTTTATCTTTAATAGATGCCGATATTGCTACGATGAATATAAAATTGTATGGGAAGATTGATGGTATCTGGGTTGAGTTACCAGGTGGTCTACCAGATCCCAATATTTGTCATAACATAGGTGTCAAATGCCCAATGAAGTCTGGAACTGAATATCTTGTAACTTTTAATGTCTTTGTTGATCCTAATTATCCAAGTGTAAGTAAAAACACAAGTGATTGGAGCTTATAGCTAAAGTGTGGCTATATAGCTAAATCATGTCACATACATTTTTCTTTGTTCCTCTCTAGTTGACTACACTAGCTGAAGTAAGAATGTCTGACTCTGCAGTTGAAGGTTGCTTTGCGGTTGACTTAGAGATAACAGGTTAAGTGGATCCCTCCCTCCGACTGCCGGTTGCTAAATACATTACATCTATTGTACTATTGATTTTGTTTAACTGTATCACAACCTTTTTGCTTTTTTGATCATGTTATTCATTATGATTTTGCCATGATTTTTTGCTAATAATAATAATAATAATAATAATAAGTTTCAATGTCAACGAATATCTCTCTCCACTCATTTTCCCCAATATCCTATGAATATTATTATTAAACCACATGACACCAACTAACGATGAATTAATAAATCTCGGCAATACATAAAAAAATTCATGTGCAATGAAATAATTAAAGCCTACAATTACAAATAAAATAAATTATTACCATGAGGTACATTAGTTAAAGATACATGCCAAATTGCCAATGGACATAAATGCATTGCTCAACTGGATGCTTTCACTCTCCTTCCCTTCAATATCTAACACAACAGTAAGACACAGTTATCATTAATCATTGCATTACTATTTTCACTAAACAATAAACAATAAATCTTTAGTTTTTGCTGTACTGTCAGTTGTACGATCAGGTGGCTAGTGGCCAGACCCTTCAACCTTCAACCCTGCAGGGAATTGTCTGGTAGTGCAGTCGTTCAAGTGCACCGGATGTGGGGTAGCTCTAGTGTTTTATCAAACCAACACGTGCTTTTATATTATTGATAGAATAAGGCTGTGAATATTCTAGGCTTCTAGCATAGAGAGGGGAATTTGCTCCAGCTGCTCAAAAAGCCCAGCCTGAGAGAGATGACATCTGGCATGCTGGAGAAATGTCTCCCTATTAGCAATAGCAGCGTAATCCGTGCACTGGAAGAGCAAAGTTTTATTGTTAAATAATAGTCATTAATAATGTTATGAGTCATTAATAATGTTATGAGTCATGAATAATGTAGAACACGTGTTGTTTTGATAAAATACTACCCCACATCCAGTAGTACAGAACTTTGCAGGTTGTAGTCCACCATACCCTTCCCCGCAGGGTTGAAGGGTCTGGCCCCTAGACTACTGAGCTAGTGGTGATGCTCTCTCTCTTTATAAAGTGAAAGGCAACTTTAACCTCTCATTCCATTCCCCTCTTCTCTCTGATTTCATCATGAAGACTTTTCTATTGTGCCTCGCTTGTCTAGTCTCTCTTGCTGCAGCTCAGATTGCACAATCTTGTTGTAAGTCTAACGTTAGTGATGCACCGATACACATTTTTCAAAACCGATATTAACCAGCCGATTATTTTGTGCAAATTGCATTAACATGGTACTTTTATGAAAATGTTTTTAAGAATAAAAATAGTCAATTGTTATCCTTAAAAGCAATCATTGATTAGTGTCATTAATATTTATAGTAGGTTCTTTTTTTTAAAAACAGCAGCATCTCTGTTTACTGTGTACTCAAACTGTTTTTAATGTTATTTTGTGGGAGTGGTTATTATTTTTATTAAAAATTGTTATACTTATCAACAGTTCTTATATCGGTAACTCTTTTTGGCTATACCGATATCAACCAATTTTGATAAAAATGGGCCGATACTGATATTTGTATTGGTATCAGTGGATCACTATCTAACATGTTACCAATGGTGATAAAGACTGAGCTCTTTCCCTCTCTCTAGCTGACCATCCAGACAGTAAAGTATCAGTGTATCTTAGCTCTGTTAGAATTGTTGGTTGTGCCACCCCTCCATGCAAGTTCTATAAAGGAAGAAATCACACAGTAGCATACAACTTTAAAGCAAGTTAGTTGTAGCAAACCAGAGAAAAATTAGTATTATGACAAATAATCCCTCTCCATCTTTAATAGATGCTGATATTGATACAATGAATATAGCATGGTATGGGAAGGTTGTTGGTATCTGGGTTGAGTTACCAGGTGCCCTATCAGATCCCAATATTTGTAATAACATAGGTGTCAAATGCCCAATGAAGTCTGGAACCGAATATACTGTAGTTTATGGTGTCTTTGTTGATCCTAATTATCCGAGTGTAAGTAAAAACAAAAATGAGTGGAACTTATAGCTATAAATCATGTCACATACATTTTTCTTTGTTCCTCTCTAGTTGACTACACTAGCTGAAGCAAGGATGTCTGACTCTGCAGTTGAAGGTTGCTTTGCAGTTGAATTAGAGATAACAGGTTAAGTGGATCTCTCCCTCTGACTGTTGCTAAATACATTACATCTATTGTACTATTGATTTTGTTTAACTGTATCACAACCTTTTTGCTTTTTTGATCATGTTTTTCATTATGATTTTGCCATGATTTTTTGCTAACAATAATAATAATAACAATAGTGACAATAAATTTCAGTCATGCCCATGCAGCATTCATGACGATAAATAAAAGTTATTAATAATGATTGAGGATTAAAGTTCATTGAATATGCTATTACTGTTGCTTCCAGGCCCACAATCTTCGTGTGGCAAACATGTTGATTTGAGTAATTTGGGTCATTTTTGACCATTAGACTATTAAAAAGAGGACATAAAATACAAAAAAATAATTCAAAAAATGATTACTTTGGTAGATGAAGGTGTTCCAGCTGGTATTCCACTCCTGAAGACAAAAGAGCATCCGCCAGTAGCAGCTGATGTAGTACTTGTGTCTTTGAAGAGTTGAAGGAGTGTGCTTAAGAAATGAGCCACACCTTGACCTCTGAGAGAGAGAGAGAGAGAGAGATACAGTGTGATCAAAGGATTAATGGTGACAGTTGACTTACTTTAGCTGATAGTGATAATGGTTCTACAGCAGTTTTGACTTCAGGAGCTGAAGTGAAAGAGAAAGAGAGTTGATAAAATAAAATAACACTCATTTGTACTTTGTAGCACAGTCAATGATGAGTTATCATTGATTAGATTTAAAATTGACTGACTGTTGTCATTGAATGTTAGCAGATCTGATCTAGCCTACAGTGTACAGGTGATAATAATAACAATTGACTAAAATCATGTTATTCTTTCCAAAAGCTACTAATTTGAATTCACTCAAAATTTATATTTCAATTGTACATGGCATAAGGACATCAATACATGTAGATCAGACATAAAAGCAAATCCCTGCTTGAGCCAATTCTAATTAACTTTTGATTTCTGAAATGAGCTCTAGCTTAATTCTCTTACTTGGCTTCTTCTTCTAATAAATTCATCTCTCTCCAGTTTTTAGGCGGATTTACAATTATGATGCTAGTCCTGACGTTATATACGTTGACGCAGGAGTTGAATCTGGTTCAACCATAGATATTGTAGTCTATAATATCTATGGTTCAACTCTAATGTAAAGCATGCGTGAAAAGGTTAAATCGCCTACGCTTTAGATTAAAAATTGACGTTACGTTGGCCCAGCGTAATATTGTGAATCCACCTTTTCTCTTCTCTTCTTTGCTTCAATTTGAGAGTCATCATCACCTTCTTCTCCTTCTCTAAACTCAAAATCTCTCTCCATCTCTAAAACATGTCAAGCAAAGTTTCCAACCCGGTCCTCTTTGGAGCAAAATGACTTGATCTAAAGAACCCATTCTTGAGATAAAGACCATCTTCACACCATAGATAATACAAACACACAAATCACCCTCTGCGTCTGAAAATTATTATCATTAAAAATATACATTTACTTTATTATGCCTAATAAGAATCTGTCTTTGATATTTCTTAAATCAGCTTTATAATCATCAGCTAACTGCTTCCCACACAAGATAATACTATTAGTCATTGTGATCTTAAAGACACAGTACATTTATACATGAGCAACTTACATGTATAGTTTATTTATTCAGTGAACTCTTGGTGACACTTATCAAGGTAAAACTATATACATGTATTCTCTATTCCATTATTCTCTGTGTCCCACTATTAGGTATTGCATTGCTGACACAGAAAGAAAGAAAAGTTTGTGAGAAGTTAATCTTCTTTTATCTCCACGTCTCTTTCTAGATGTGTCATTCTCTTGGAATATCTTTATGTTACTGTATGTGTAATCATGTAAAGAGTCTCTATTTCAAATTTGGTCTGATTCTATCACCACAGGAAGAGTTTTTCGAAAGTTTGCTTTTTTCAAGCATGAAACACCAATTTTAAAATTTAATTTTTAATTTACAGCTTTTTGGAAAGCCTCAATATTTTTAATCCCTTTCTTAAAGGTGCTTTATTAAATTAAAACCTATCTTTAGGGGAGCATGAAGAGCCTAATAAGATTCTTATATGGGACACTTGTATGGCTTCCTGCATAACATAGAATCTAATTTTTCCTTTAGGTAGCACCCTTAAAAGGAATCCCTGCCTAAGCCTTCGTTCCCAAAGTCTCTCCCTCGCAATACAAAATGTCACATCATCAAATACCTTCATAAAGCTGGTTTAATTAGTTAACTAACCACACCCAAATTAATTGACTCCACCTCTCATCATGATTACCTCTCATTTTTAGACATTTTTATTTTAACATTTTCTATATCATTGAAAAGGTGTTGGTACATGTTTCCCGTCTTTACTGATTGCTAAGAATTTAAATCTTTCACCCATTTCCTCAGGACTCGTTAGCCATTGATAACTATTTATTAAACCTCTCGCTACTTCAGGCTCCGCCTTCTCTAATAACACCTAGCAACAGTTGCCATAACAACAAGCATAACCAAGGTAACATACATCGAGTCTCTGTCTGATTCCCATCTGGTGTAGGAATTGGTTTTGTGTCACAGGGCCATGAGGGACACACCCTAATATTATAGATAAAGTTATGTAATTGTATTAGGTGATGTTAAATATAAATAATAAGGTTACAATAAAGTGTGTACATACACACCCAGTGGTTAACATGATACTTGTGACTATCATTCTATCAAATGATACCAATGCACTAACACACACAAACAGATAGACACTAACTATGCTTAATATAGCCACACCTAATGTAGCCAGACTGTACATAGTTTGATAGTTACCTTGTGATTTTATGATTTGTATTAAATGGCTGAAGTTCACGTCAGCTGTAAGGTCAACGCCACCAGGAGAAGAGAGGACGTCAACTTGCCTGTGACCACTGTAACCCTAACCAACCAATAACTATTATTATTATTATTATCTTTATTAAGTTACTCTAAAAGTGAAATCTTTTATTTCCACGTCTCCATAGTCGGCAATTAGGGCTCCCCCTCCATTAGTCTTCACACGTCTTGATATCTCCTCAATGATTAATAAACCATCAGGACACACCTCAACCTCCTTGTACCTGCCACCTAGTAACTACAAGAAAAAATATACATAAAAATACACTCCTACTCTCTTACTTGTGTATATGCCAGTGAAGCTGGTGTGGGATTTGGTGATTTGACAAATTTCAAGGATCTATTTACAAACATTATATACACGACACATTAGCATCTATTTACTTTGTTTCAGTTTCAATATCAACAAATATCTCTCTCCACTCATTTTCCCCAATATCCTATGAATAGGCAATTAATGAACCACACGACACCCACTAACGATGAATTGATGAATCGGCAGTACATCAAAAAACTCGTGAGCAATGAAATAATTAAAGCCTACAATTACAAATAAATAAATAAATAAAAATAAATAACAATTACCATGGGGTACATTAGTTAGAGATGAATGCCAATGGACATTAATACCATTGCTCAACTGGATGCTTTCACTCTCCTTCCCTTCAATATCTAATACAAGAGTAAGACACAGTTATTGTTATCAATAACATATGGTTATTATTAATCACTGCATTACTATTTTCACTAAACAATAAATCATATTGTTAACATGTCTCCCGGTTAACATCATCAGCATAACACTGACTATACCATGTTGTTGTTGTTGTTGTTGTTGTTGTGATAAATCTGTTAGAGTCTCTCTTTGTTGGTGTCTCATGGTTGGACTGGCTTCTATCAAATGAATAACAAGTGATGGTAAAATGTCCTTTAACTGAGCAAACACCTAATAAAGAGAGGGAAAAAAGAGGAGACATAAGATAATTTTCTCTTCTCTCTCCCTCTATCTGTCTCTCTCCCCCTCACTCTTATCATATCTTTCATCATGGATCCTCTCCCCGGTCCTAGCTCTATCAAATGACATGGCGAAGGTCTCCCTTGTACCATCCAATCAGCCACCACCCACACACCTAGTAACTACCATAATGTAACATCTAAAACCACACCCCTACCCCTTTACCTCTCCAAAGACTTGAGATATTTCTGGCGAAGTCACAAAATCTCCTTCACGTCCCAGTATGCCCTGCCCACCTTTCATATAATAACCCTGTAGTGTAGAGTGGAGGGAAGGTTTACAAATAATTAATAGATAATTACTGTGACTGGGTTTAACAAGCATTCCCTCATGTATCGTGCTACAGTCATTGGTCCTGTTGCCTATAAGGAAGGAGTGAAATCATCATTATTAAATATTTTAATAACCTTAATGAGGTTGTAAATACGTGATGAGGAGCTCCCACTACAGTAACATCCTCTACTGCTTGTCAAAATTCTTCCTATGGTATTTCTATAGAATAAATAGTGTCTTCCAAAAGCAGCAACACTCATTTTGACTTATAGATTACACGTGGGTGGGCGTGGATAAACTTGTTTTTATTTAATTTGCTATTCTTGCACTGCCATCATTGAAACCAGACTGACAACACGTGACACTGAATTGTTTGCTTTTTGCTGTACTGTTAGTCTCGCCAGTCAGCTCAGTGGTACGATCAGGTGGCTAGTGGTGTGCTATCTATCTCTCTCTTTATAAAGTAAAAAGCAACTTTAACCTCTCATTCCATTCTTCTCTCCTCTAAAGATTTCATCATGAAGACTTTTCTGTTGTGTCTCGCTTGTCTAGTCTCTCTTGCTGCAGCTCAGATTGCACAATCTTGTTGTAAGTCTAACGTGTTAACAATGGTGATAATTAAAGAGCTCTTTCCCTCTCTCTCCAGCTGACCATCCAGACAATAAAATAACAGTGGATCCTAGCTCTGTTAAAATTGGTGGTTGCACCGCCCCTCCATGCAAGTTCTATAAAGGAAAAAATGGCACAGTGTCATTCAACTTTAAAGCAAGTTAGTTTTAACAAACCAGAGAAAAATTAGTATTATGACAAATTATCCCTCTCCATCTTTAATAGATGCCGATATTGCTACTATGAACGTCGCATTGTATGGAAAGATTGCTGGTATTTGGGTTGAGTTACCAGGTGGCCTACCAGACCCCAATATTTGTAATAACAAGAATGTAACATGCCCAATGAAGTCTGGAACCGAATATAGTCCAGTTATTAATGTCTTTGTTAATCCTAAATATCCAAGTGTAAGTAAAACAAGAATTATAGCTAAAATGTGGCTGTATATATACATGTAGCTAAATCATATCAAAGACATTTTTCTCTGTTCCTCTCTAGAT